AGGGAAGGGGGCGTGGCCCCTGCTCACAGGAAGGCTCTGGGCCCAGGCAGGGAAAATGAGGTCTCAGAATAACTCCCTGAAGAGCCCTGTTCCCCTTTCATCACTGCACAGACCCAGAAGTTCCCGCTGTCCTGCCCGGCACCTGCCATGACTGTCGGTCTCCTGGGCTTTGTGGCCTTTTGCCTCCTGTGGACAGGTGAGTCCTGGCAGGGCCTGTGCCTGGACGTCAGGGATCGGGAGCCAAGCCTTTCCCTGGGGCTGCAGCGTCATCTCTGTTCTCCTTCTCTGCAGGTTCAATGAATGCTGGCGTCACCCAGACCCCAAGATTCCAGATCCTGGAGACAGGACAGAACATGACACTGAGATGTGTCCAGGATATGAACCATAATAACATGTACTGGTATCGACAAGATCCTGGGCTGGGGCTGAGGCTGATCCATTACTCAGTTGGTGCTGGTACCACTGCCAATGGAGAAGTCCCTGAAGGCTACAGTGTCTCTAGATCAAGTACAAAGAACTTCCCCCTCACGCTGGGGTCTGCTACCCCCTCCCAGACATCCGTGTACTTCTGTGCCAGCAGTGATCCACAGCGCTGCACGGCTGCCTCCTCTCTGCACAGAAAGGCAGGGGAGGCTCCGCACCCCCAGAACTCAGCAATGTCCTTGGCAGAGTTCTCAGCACCAGGACCCTGGAGCCCCGAGGGGCCCGTGCAGTGTGAGCCTGGGTCTGTGCCAGGTGCACCTGCAGGAAGTCTCACCCAGGCCTGGACTGATCCCAGGCCTCAGGAACAGACGTGTCTCTCTTGTTGTTGTCTCACCTTTCTGCTCAGCTGTCCCATTGGGGTGGGGACGGGGCTTCCCTGGCTCTGACTGTTCTAGTCATTAGCCTGAGTCTGAGGCCTCCAGGATGGAACGTGATGTGTGTTCCAGCTACATGTAGATCCCTGTCTCTGCCTGGGCGCCACATGGCTCTCCCTATAGGGTTCTCCCCCATGCCCAGCCCTCGCATGGTCTCCACTGCAGCCCCCCTTTTCCATATGGGTGGTCGCCCCAGGAGGCCCTGCTGGGTCTCTCCTCCCCCGCTCCTGCCCCGTACTCCAGCCAGGCTGCACAGACCCTCACCTACACCTCCCTCCTTCCCATCACAGAGACTCAAAGCCATTTCCTCTGCCCTGGGCATGGAGCCTTCCTTTCTGTACAGGCAAATTCCTACCTGTGCTTCAGATCTCAGCCAAATCACCCCTGCCCCCCTACCCCCTGAGGGAAGCTTCCCCTCACCTCCCAGCTCAGGTCAGTTTCCCTCTCATAAGCTCTCATGGTATCATGTGCCCATTAGTCAGTAGACTTTAGAACAATTAGAATTTTCCAGATACTTTTCTGTTCCTTTGTCTACCCGACTAGATGTTAAACTCCACGAGGGACAAGGCCCCGCCCAGGCATTTGTCAAGAACAGTGTCTGGCACATTGCAAACGCCCTTTTCATAGAGAATGGTGAATGGGTGGATGAACCAGTAACAGGAACATCGTACATCTCACTTTATGCTAGAAGAAATCTAGCATTAATTACAAGAAATATTGTCCCTTGGATTGCTGGGCACAAGTGGTCCTGGGATTTGATGAGGAATGTCTATCACAGGGGCCCAGACCTGGCTCTGAGCGTCCATTTGTGGTTGCAGTACCAGATGTCCCCAGGTGTCTGCTTTCTCTTTCAAGTACATTCTCCCCAGTAAATCTGGACAGATGAGTGAAGCATTCTAGAAATCCATTCATACAGTTTTCTTTTCTTAGAACCATTGCTGGTTCTAAAAATCCATTATGTTTCTCTCAATAAAACTGGTAGGAAGTTAATGGAATTATACTTCCTTAAAAGTTTATGAGAAGAAGGGATTTATCATGGGAATTAGACCTTATGCAAATGTGGGAGGAGCTGAGAAAGAGAAGTTCTGGAAGGGAGAAGTCAGAAGGTCACAGAGACAGTCATCAGCCAGGGCTCCTGGGGCTCTGGTGCAGGAGGACAGGCCGGAGTGTCAGGGCATGAGAGGATCAGAGCATGTCAGGCCACCCAGTGGGACCTTGGCCACGGAGTGTAGGAAAAGTCTAAGCAAAGTCATTTCTGGGGACACTGCTGCCT